GATTCGTCCTGCTCCCGGGCAAAGGCAAACATGAAATTCTATCCTTCGAAAGCAGCGTACGAACATGTCGGTCGCCCGCACGGCGCCCAACAGCGCGCCCAATCGCGCGCAACGCAGAGATAATGCATCTGCCTGGCATGACGCTATTGAGCGCTATTGGCGCGAAGAAAGCCGTGGCACTTGATCACTCTAAGAGAAGAGAAGTGGCATCAACTTGTGCGACGTCGCGTCGAAGGCACCATCGGCCTCCGATCCCGATGCCCACGACACAGGGGCATAAGGCATACACCGAGCAACACAACAATTTGCGCCGAGGAGAACTCAATGTCTTTTTCGCGTACCTCTGCAAAAGCCGTCCCGCCAAAATCAATCGATGCATCTTTCGGAAAAAAACGCCTGGGCAAGTGGCCGATAGGAAGAAAGCCGTGAAGAAACTGTGGAGCCCAAAGTGCCAAAAGTTGTAGCTGGGGTCCTTGAGGGCTGACATCTGCTCTTCAGCTCTGTCCTTCGGGAATCCAAGCTCCATAGTCTTTGTAACACCCACAAGGACACAGTGGATGGCGATGATGGCCCGAAGAACCCAATGCGGTGCTGCGCTGTTGGCGAACAGAGTGTACCACCAAATAGCCAAGGAATCCCAACAGCACCAGTGATAGTGGCGCGTTCAACTTTGCAACTGTGGGGAACTTGTCAGCATGATGTTCGATCAGACCGTGGACTCCCCCCAACAATAGTCAGGACTGCCATCGGATATGGACAACATGTGACCGACGCCCACAGAATGTAGAAGAATCAAGCCGGAAGAACTGTGAAGCTTTCTCCGACCATCGCGCCGATTAGATGCAAGAAGGAGAGCGCAGGCCCTGGACTGTCGACCTGATATTATGGATGGTGTCCCTGCATCGAGCCAACACGGCTCGAGCCAAAACGGCTTGAGCCAAGACCGCCAAGATGGCTCAATAGAGCCCGAGAGTGTCTGATGAGTTTCCGAGAGTGTATCAACACCGGTCTACAAGCGCACCTACAAGATGGCTCAATAGCGCCCCGTCGAGCGCTTCGTCCTCCCGTACGCGTTCCCCGAAAGGTCTCCAAACCGACTCGGGGAACAACTTGAGCAGGAATGCCAAGATGGCCTTGAAGTTCGCCTACGTTGGTCCAAGATGTCTTCAGAGACCGTGCAAGAGGGCCGAATATGCCTCCAAGTCTGCATGGCACAGGGAACTCCCGAGGAATATGCCTCCGCCTCCTTCCCTTCTTCTTCTTCTTCTTCTTCATCGTCGAACTCCTCCTTTCCCTTTCCCTCTGCTCGTCATCATCTTTTTCTGATGCACGGTATTGAAAGACAAAGGATCCACCAGAACGGCTCTGGGCATGGCCCTATGGCATAAAACGATTTCCATTCACCAGGCCTCGTAAGGTTCCATCATGAGAATGAATTGTACTCTTGCACGTGAAACTCTCGGCGATGGGCATGGCCCTGTCGCTCTCCTTTCTTTATTTTACAAGCGTGAGGCTATCGGCCTCACACTTGAATCCGCCCCCTGTCGATTCATCGCAGTTCATCGCAGGGGTGCCTGGCGTGCTGAATCCACTCGGTTTTGGTTCTTTTTCCAAAAGAACTCCCCCTGGGGCTTCGGCGCGTTCCGCCGGGGTCCCGGAAGGCCGCGTAAACCACCTCAGCGTCCACAAAAAATCCTCCAAGACGGCTCAAGATGGCCTCCAATATGGTCACGTTGGCCCAAGATGGCCTCCAAGATGGTCCGCCCAAGATGGTCCAAGACGGCCTCCAAGACGGCCCAAGAGAGGCCAAGACGGCCCAAGACGGCCCAAGAGGCCCCCCAGAGGCCTCCAAGACGGCCCGAAAGGCCTCCAAGAGGTCCTCCAGGAGGGCCCGAAGAGGCCAAAATCATTGATTTTCCTTAGGTTTTTGAAGGATTTTGGCATTTGCGCCTTTTCGGCTTTCCGACGACCCAAGACGGCCCAAGAGGCCCCCAAGATCGCCCCCACAGCGCCCAAGAGGCCTGCAAGATTGCCTCAAGACTGCCCAAGAGGCCCCCAAGACGGCCCCAAGAGGGCACAAATACGACCCAAGAGGCCTCCAATACGCCCAAGATGGCCTCACAGACGGCCCTGGAGCACCCCAAGAGGGCCCCAAGTCGGCCCAGAAGAAAAAAAACAACGACTTCCGACGGCGTCAGACGGGCCAGGAGCCTACCAAGATGGCCGAAGTTGGCTCGAAGCTGGACCAAGACGGCCCAAGAGGCCTCCAAGAGGGCCTCCTGGAAGGCCAGGAAAGGCTAAAAAGAGTGATTGTCCTTGGGTTTTTGAAGGATTTTGAGATTTGCCCTTTCCGCCTTCAGACGGCCCGATACGGCCCAAGAGCCCCCAAAGATTGCCCAAAGATCGCCCAAGAGGCCTCCAAGATGGCCCCATAACGGCCCAAGAGGCCCCCAAGAGGCCCCAAGAGGCCCCCAAGACGGCCCCAAGAGACTCCCAAGACGGCCCTGGAGGCCTTTAAGACGCCCAAGAAGGCCTCCAAGACGGCCCTGGAGCATTCCAAGAGGGCCCTAAGTCGGCCCAGAGGCCCCCCAAACGGGTTCCGACGGCGTCAGACGGGCCAGGAGCCCACCACGACGGCCGAAGATGGCCTTTAAGATGGCCCAAGACGGCCCAAGAGGCCTCCAGGAAAGCCCGAACAAGGCCCAAATCATCGATTTCCCTTGATTGAAGGATCGTGGCATTTGCTTTTTGTTCGGCCTTCCGACGGCCCGAGTGCCCCCAAGGATCGCCCAAGAGGCCCAAGACGGCCCCAAGAGGCTCCCAAGACGGCCCAAGAGGCCTCCACGACGCTCAAGATGGCCTCCAAGACGGCCCAAAGAGCCCTCCAAGACATCCTCCACGAAGGCCCGAAAGGGTCAAAATGGCCTCCAGACGGCCAAGATGACCTTCAAGATGCCCACGTGTTCCCCGAAGGCTTTCCAAACCGATTCGGGGAACACATGGTCCGATAGCTTGGCAGGTCTGGCCTCAACGTTCGGCCACATAGGCGCTTCCAAAAGGGCAGGGGGCGGCGGTGATTCGCCGTAGGCGTCTTCGATCCGCCGCCCCATGTTGGTACCCGGCGTGCTGAATCCTTTCGCTTTTGGTATTCTTTCTTTCTCCAAAAGAACTCCCGCTGGTGCTTCGGCCCAGCCCGCCAGGGTCCCGGAAGGTTCCCGAAAATCCGTCTGTCAATGCCTTTCTTGCTCAAAGCTGACCTCCAAGATGCCTCAAAGACGGCCAAGATTGCTCGAAGACGGCCAAGATGGTCCCAAGATGCACCCAAGACGGCCCCAGATGGCCTCAAGAATGTCTAAGACGGCCCAAAAGGGCCAGAAGAGGCCTCCAAGACGGCCCAAAAGCGCTCCAAGACGTCCTCCAGGAAGGCCCGAAAGGGCAAAAGTCATTGATTGTCAGAAAATGTTTGAAAGATGTGGGCATTTTCTTCTTATCAGCTCTCCGACGGCCCAAGACGGCCCAAGAGGCCTCCAACATCGTCCCAAGAGCGCCCAATAGGCCTCCAAGATGGCACCACGACAGCCCAAGAGGCCCCCAAGACGGCCCCAAGAAGAGCCGAAGGCGGCCCAAGATGGCCCCGAAGACGTCGAAGATGGCCTCCAAGACGGCCAAGATGGCCTCCCAAATGCCTCCAAGACGGCCAAGAAGCCCTCCAAGACAGCGAAGATGGCCCCAAGATGCACCCAAGACGGCCCCAGATGGCCTGAAGATGGCCTTAGACTGCCCAAAAGGCCCACAAGAGGCCTCCAAGACGGCCCAAGACCCGTCCAAGACGTCCTCCAGGAAGGCCCGAAAGCTCGAAAACCACCTGGTCCGATAGCTCGCCCGACTCCGTGTTCCCCGAAGGCTTTCGAAACCCACTCGGGGAACGCGTGGCCCGATAGCTTGGCCAAGCTCAAACCCAACTTTCGGCCACGCAGGCGCTTCCAAAAAGGCAGGGGGCGGCGGTGATTCGCCGTAGGCGTCTTCGATACACATACGAGCATAATTCACGCACCAGTTGAGCTGGGATGGTATGAACTCATATTTAGAATGGACGATGGGAGATCGGGTGCGAATGAGGGAGACCGACTGCGGAGTTGTCGCTGGGACCTGTGTCAGTATTCCTTCTGGATATACACCCCCTGCTCGACCCGACCAACCACAAACTCGGGGCTATGTGGGCGTTGTGCGCGGTTTTGAGGAAATCTCGCGCTTTGAACTTCCCGACGATCGCAGAGGACCCGCAAGGCCCCCACGACGGCCCCATGACGACAGCTGCGACCTCCACGGCGCCCACAAAGGCGCCCAAGACCAACGCCAAAAGAAAACCAGCCAAAGGACCCGATCAGACCCTCCGAGCCCTCGGCCCCCAGAAGACCACAGGAGATCCCACCAGAACCCCCACAAGGCTGACACAAGGCCCCCACCAGACGGCATCACCCCGAAGGGGTCGGCAGTGCGGCATAAGCCCGAGAATCACCACCACCAACAGTATGATAAACATGATCGTCGACGTCGTCGTCATCGTCGTCATCAATTTCGTCGTCACCTGCAGCGTCCGCATGGCCGTCGTCGTCATGGTAATCGTCATCGCCATCAACGTTATCATCATCCTCATCATCGCCATCGTCCTCAGTATCGTTATCATCATCATCACCATCATCATCATCATCATCATCATCAGCATCATCAGCAACATCGCAATCATCGTCGTCGTTGTCGTCTTCGTCATGAGCGGCATCATCAGCACTGTAATAATCATCATCATCATCAGCAGCAGCACAACCACCACCATCACAGGCAGCATCGCAATAATCATCATCATCATCATCATCATCATCATCATCATCATCAGCATCATCATCATCATCATCATCATCATCATCATCATCATCATCATCATCATCATCATCCAATCCCTCCTTCTGACGTCCCCGGTCCCCCTAAAGAAGCCCCCGTTCCTGGGCGATCACCTTGGCGCGCTCCGCCAGGACATCACCGAGCCACTTCTTACGGCGTTTCTCGTTGTGCTCGTAGCGAAGCAGCTGCTTCTCTTTGATGTCGCCTGGCAAGGCGAACTCGCTCTTGTCCCTGTGCTGCAGGTCCTCCAAGACGAGGCCAAGCCTCTGGGAGGGGCTGCAAGAGATGGAGGAGGGCGAGGAGGCGGCGGCAAAGTCGAGGAAGCACGTTTCCGACGCGAAACTGCTGCTGGTCACGGCAGTAGGCCCCCGAAAAGTGGCGCACAGCGAGGAGCTCACAAAGCCCGCAAGCGTGAAGCGCGGAGGAGGAGGAGGAGGAGGAGGAGGAGGAGGAGGGGGAGGAGGAGGAAAGAGAGGATAGAGAGGAGGCGGCGATAGGATGGAGCGGGAGGAGGCGAAGGGAGGGAGGAAGGAGTAGGAGGGAGGATGAAGGGGGAAGTGGGAGAGGGGGGAAGGAGAGGTGAGAAGGGAGGAGATGGAGGAGGAGGAGAAGGACGAGGAGGAGGAGGAGGAGGAAGAGGACGAGGAGGACGAGGAGGAGGAGGACGAGGGAGGGGCAAGGAAAATAAGATGGAGGTGGAAAAGGACCAGAGTAGGCCCAGGCACGATGTATCAGGGATGCTGCAATACACTCTCCAGTCCCAAGTCCCTCCCCCAAACGTCCTAACCCCTATTATCAGGTCGGGCATGTGCTCCTACAGGCGGATCTTGGAAGGAACAAAAATAGTCAACAAAATGCCCAAAAGTAGCCAAAAATAGTCGCCCTGACTATGTTTTACCATGTTTGCCTACTCCTCCTGCAGAGGGACATGCCCGGCCCAAGCCCACCATTTTCCACTGCTTGAAGCGCCCTCCCCGAACGACGAGCGTCTGGCGGGCCTGCCGCTCCGGCGCGAGCCCGCTCTACGAGGAAAGCACGTGCCCAGCCACAGCCCCGTTTGGAAGCGGATCGGCCCTCCATCCGGACCGCCTACGGTCGTGGCCTTACCTAAGGAACCCGAAATAAGGAACGAGGCCCCTTTTTTCAATAAGTTGAACTTCGATTTCCCATCGAAAACATAAGGAAAGCCTGAGGCAAGCTGTGAAACAATCAAGGAACGCGGAGCCCCTCCCCAACCAAAAGGGTTCCTTCTTCAGGGCCCCGACTGTACCAGGCCACCCCAACCCAACCCGAAGACCCGAATTTCGGGTCAGGGGGGAGACGGGTTCCGCAGGTTTGTTTGTTTCGATGTTCCCCGACACACACACACACACACACACACACACACCACACTGGAAATGGAGGGCAGATCGGGGCGCCTTCGGGTTGGCTTGGGGTGGTTTGGCGGGCGGTGGCATCCGCATACATGTTGCTTTCGAAGTTCTGGTCGCAAAATTCGCCAAAATCTCAAGAAAAAATCCAGCTTGGAAAAGGAGCCGCCCTCCATCCGTGAAAACAGCCGCATATTTGTCGAATTTCTGGTCATGGAGCTTGGGGCAGTGTCAGGCAAGAGCCGTGCGAACCAACCTCCATCACTGCAACTGTTTGACATGTTTGAAAAACCCATCTGCGCAGCGCTAAGGCAAGCGCCGTGTTTTGAAAACGAACCCGCCTCCATCTTTTTAGCTGATAGAAACTTTGAAGACGAATGCGCGCGGCGCTAAGGCTAGAGCATCATTTTGGAAACGGCTGGCCCTCCACCCCTGTCGCTGCTGGAACGCAGGATATATAACAAATTACGGAGAAGTCTGAGGCGAAACGCCTGGCCTGGCCGAACTACGCACACGTTGGGTGGTGCGACAGGAGGGCGACCTAGAAAGAAGACGAATGGGGAAGGAGGGTGAGGAGGAGAAGGACGAGGAGGAGGAGGACAAGTGTAAGCCCAAGACGCATCAACGATGTTGCAGTAGACCCTCCCTCCAGGCTACCTTTTCGCGGGTCCCTACAACGACTTTTGTTTTCACTTCTGCAAGTGTTCCGTTGAAGACAACCGTATGAGAATCCTCAACCGCGCGAACACACCACTCCTTGGACTTCAACGCCACGAGTCCATTTGTCTGTTGCGTCGTCACGGTCCTCAGTTGTACCAGACCACCGTTCCTGGGACTTCAGCACCGCGATTCAACGTGACTATTACGCCCTGACAATCCGAAATCGTGCCGGAACACCATTCCTGGACGGCCATACATAAGAATATGTCAAACGATTGTGCGCGGCGAGAAAATAAGAACCACATGTTGAAAAAGAGTCGCTCTCCATCCGTGAGGCTGTTGCGAAAATTAAAGCGAATGTGCGCGGCGCTAAGGCAAGAGCCAGAAGGGAAAGGTAACCACCCCTCATCCACGAAGCTCCTGCTTACTTTTGAAACGAATGCGCGCGGCGCTGAGGCGAGAGCCTCATTTTGTAGACGACGCTGCGCTAGGGCGAAATGCGTATTTCCCTACCTAGGCTCTGCCTAGAAGGGTTCTGACTCGGTAAGCTTAAAGGGACGGGCAGTGGGAACCGCCCCGGGCGGTTCCCCCCGCATCCGCCCCGTGGTTCCCCCAGTGACGCTCTCTTAGCTTAGCGTTGCTTATCTCATCTTAGCTTAGTTTAGCTTAGCTTCATTCCCTACCTTGGCTCTGCCTAGAAAGGTTCTTACCGTATAAGCTTAAAAGGCCGGGCAGTGGACTACGCCCCGGGCGGTTCCCCCGGCATCCGCCCCGCGGTTCCCCCAGGATCCCCCGCTTTGCCTAGCCTAGCTTAGCTTAGCTTAGCTTAGCTTAGTTTAGCTAGGCTTAGCTTAGCTTAGCTTGGCTTGGCTTAGCTTGGCTTAGCTTAGCTTAGCGTAGCTTAGCTTGGCTTAGCTTAGCTTAGCTTAGCATAGCATAGTTTACCTTACCTTAGCTCAGCGCAGCGCAGCATAGAGCAGCGCAGCGTTAGCACAGCATAGCAGAGCATAGCGTAGCCAAGCATAGCATAGCATAGCATAGCATAGCATTGTTTAGCATAGCACAGCACAGCATATCATAGCATAGCATAGCATAGCATAGCATAGCACAGCCTAGCATAGCATAGCATAGCATAGCATAGCGCAGCGTAGCATAGCATAGCATAGCGTAACATAGCGCAGTATAGCATATCATAGCACGGCCTAGCATAGCATAGCATAGCGCAGCATGGCATAGCATAGCATAACATAGCATAGCATAGCATAGCGCAGCATAGCATAGCATAGCATAGCGGAGCATAGCGGAGCATAGCATAACGAAGCATAGCTTAGCTTACCTCAGTTTAGATTACCGCAGCGTAGCATAGCGCAGCGCAGCATGAGCATAGCATAGCATAGCATAGCATATCATAGCATAGCCATGCATAGCATAGCATAGCTTAGCTTAGCATAGCATAGCATAGCATAGCATGCAAAGCAAAAGCAAAACCAATGCGAAAGTGTAGATGTAGATGTAGATGTAGGTGTAGGTGTAGATGTGGATGTAGGTGTAGGTGTCGATGTAGATGTAGGTGTAGATGTGGGTGTGGATGTAGATGAAGATGTGAGTCTCGCTGTTGATGTTGATGTAGATGTAGATGTAGATGCAGGTGTAGATGTTAATGGAGCTGTCGGTGTAGATGTAGATGTTGCTTTCCTAGATGCTCCAACTCCTAGGTAGGGTCGCACTGGGATCATTTAAAAACGAGTGCGAGCGACGCTAAAGCAAAAGATCCGCCCTCCATGCGCGAAACCCTTGCAAACTTTTGACTGAAGCGCGCGGCGCAAAGCCGAGAGCCACATTTGAAAAACCGCCCACCCTCCATCCGTCAGACCCATGTAAAAATGTAACACAATTCGCGCGGCGCTAAAACGAGAACCACATGATGAAAACCACCCGCACTCAATCCGTGAAACTCTTGCAAATGCGGTGCTGAGGCGATGACCACATTTCGAAAACGACCCGCCCTCCATCCGCGAAACCCTTGCAGGATCAGAAATCGTGAGGAGATCTCAAGCGAAACGCTCTGCCCGCCCTACCAACACGTCTCGGGGTGCGACAGGGAGAAGCCACCCACAAGGAGAGAGGATGGAGGAGGAGAGTGAGGAACATGCATTGAGGATGAGAAAGGGGAGGAAGAGGAGGAACAGGATGAGGATGAAGAGAAGGAGGAGAGAAGAAGAGAAAGATGATGGAGGAAGCAAGAGGGGGAAGAAGATTAAGAAGGATGAAGAAAGGAGGAGGAGGAGGAGCAGGAGGAGGGAGGATGAATGAGAGAGCAGGAGGGAGGGAGGGAGGAAGGGAGTGAGGACGAGGTGGACGATGAGGAGACAGAGGAGGAGGAGGAGAAAAAGGATGAGGAGTAAGAAGAGGGAGAGGAGGCAGGAGGGAGCATGAGAGGGATAATGGAGAATTAAGAAGACGCAGGACGTGAGGAAGGAGGGAGGGAGAGGAGGGAGAGGAGGGAGGGGGACAGGAGGGAAAGGAGGGAGAGGAGGGAGAGGAGGGAGGGGGAGAGGAGGGAGAGGAGGGAGAGGAGGCCGAGCCTTCGGCATGCCTCTCGCGTCCTCGGGGTGTTCAGCACCTGCTGGCCGACCGGCTGCGGGGCGGCCGCGCCGCTCTCCGCGACCAGCGCGAGCTCGGCGCGCTCGGCGGCCATCCTCGAGGACGACGACGGCGACGGCGACGTGGGGCCGAGGACTCCTCCTCCTCCTCCTCCTCCTCCTCCTCCTCCTCCTCCTCCTCCTCCGCGGCCACAGCAGAGGCCGGGTCGTGGGAAAGCGCCGCGGGGAACCCAGCACCCTCAGATCCAGGGGTCGCGACCAAGGGCGCAACCGGCACGATTCACGCAGCGGCCCGGCTCGAAAAATCCATCGAAGAAGAAGATGGGCTCGGGATGTCCTGGCATGGCGTGAGCGGCTTCTCGATACAGGGCTCCCGCCGAAATCGCCTCCACCTCCTGCCCTCTCGCTGGGCAGCAGGGAGGGGATAGGAGGAGCGAGGGAGAGGATGAAGGAGGGAGAGGGAAGCGGCGAGAGAGGAGGCCAGCGGGGCAGAGACCATGGAGGTTCACGACCCTGTAGACCAGACGCGCTTGAAGCACACGGCAGTGCCGAGGCAAGACCTGCTGCAGGCCAAGGGCCCAGAAACGGCCCCTGGGTGCCGAAGATGGCGAACAAACGCTTTGCGCGATCCTCTTGGGTCACCAAGGAAGCCTGGCCTCGTGGGCCAAGAATCGGCCACCAGACCTATCCAGGGACGCGCTCTGCCCAGAATGTCGACGGAGACCCGACCGTGGCCACGAGGGCACACCAGACGACCCCACAGAACAGAGAGGCTTCGACCCCCAGCAGGGACGAGACCGAGGCGGGCGGAGGAGGAGCGGGGGGGGCAGAGGCAGAGACAGGGGCAGGGGGTGTGAGGGGAGGGAGGAGGGAGGAGGGAGGGGGGCAGCGGGAGGGGGAGGAGGAGGGAGAACGCGACGCTCTCTGTTCAAAACGATGACCCGACACCACAGGATGACGGGCAAAAAACCGGGAGGCTTCGACGCCCAGCGAGGACGAAACCTAGGAGGCGGAGGAGGAGCGCTTCGCCGCACGGGCTTCCCCCCGGGGCCTGGGCGCGGCCTGCCCACGGGGTTCCCCGAGGGGCGGCGGGCCTCGCGCGAACGCGGGCGAGGCGCGCGCTACACCATGCGCGCGGGGCCGCGCGGGCCCAGTACGGCTGCGCGGGGGGGTGCGCGGGCGGCGTGATCAGAGGCAGGGGTGGGTCCCCATCGTGCTGCGCCCGCGTCCTCCTCTCTTCCCCCCGTCCTGCGTGCTCAATCCTCCGAGCAGGCTCCCTCCTCCCCCTCTGCCATCATCCTTTACCTCCGTCCTCCCTCACTTGTCTCCTCCTCCTCCTCTTCCTCCTCCTCCTCCTCTCTCTCATCCTTCCTCCTCATCCTCCTCCTCCTCCTCCCTTCCTCCTCCACCTCATCCGTTTTCCTCCTCCTCCTCCTCTCCTCCTCTCCTCCTCATCGTGCTCCTCCTACTCCTCATCCTCCTCCTCCTCCTCCTCCTCCTCCTCATCCTCTCCTCCTCCTCCCTCCTCCCTCCTCCTCCTCCCCCCCTCCTCCTCATCCTTCCTCCTCTCTCCTCCTCCTCCTCCTCCTCCTCTCCTCCTCTCCTCTTTCTCCGCCTGCTTCTCCTCCTCGTCCTCCTCCTCCTCTTCTCCTCCTCCTCTTCCACCTCATCCGTCCTCCTTCACCCCTCCTCTCATACTCATCCTTCTCTCTCTCCTCCTCCTCCTCCTCCTCCTCCTCCTCCTCCTCCCCCTCCTCTTCCACCTCCAAATCCTTCTCCTCCTCCTCTTCCTTATCCTCCTTATTATTATTCTTAGCAGCAATATGCTTACCATTATTAGTACGGCCCGTCGTAATGTTCTGTGTTGTTGTTTAGAACTACTGTTATTATTATTATTGTTAGTAGCGTTTGTGATATTGTTGCTACTTTCAATATTCGTATTACTAACACTACCTATATATATATATATATATATATATATATATATATATATTCATATGTTAAAAATATATATATAAAAAATATAAAAAAAATAAAAAAAAAAAAAATAAAAAAACGAGTGAAATTGGGAATGGTCGTCGTAGTAAGTAGTAGTAGTAGTAGTAGTAGTAGTAGTAGTAGTAGTAGTAGTAGTAGTAGTAGTAGTAGTAGTAGTAGTAGTAGTAGTAGTAGAAGCAGCAGCAGCAGCAGCAGCAGCAGTAGCAGTAGTAGTAGTAGTAGTAGTAGTAGTAGTAGTAGTAGTGGTAGTAGTAGTAGTAGTAGTGGGTGGTGGTGGTGGGTGGAAGCAGTAGTAGTAGTAGTAGTAGAAGTAGTAGTAGTAGTAGTACTACTACTACTACTACTAGTAGTAGTAGTAGTAGTAGTAGCAGTCGTAGTCGTAGTAGTCGTAGTAGGAGTAGTAGTAGCAGCAGTAGTAGCAGTAGTAGCAGTAGTAGCAGTAGAGTTCGCACTGTTGGTAGTACTAGCCCTATTAATAGCAGTAATACGTATTACAAGTAGCGTAAGTGTTCGAATTATCGTCCGTAGTAACATTAGCATCCGTCTTCTCAGCAGTATCATTCGTATCCTTCTTAGCTGTTGTGTTGTAAGTAATGTTAGTAGCAGTAGCAATAGTAGTAGCAGCAATAGTAGTAGTAGTCGTAGTTGTAGTAGTCGTGTTCATATTATTCTTCTGAATACGAGTATCCTCCTCCTCCTCCTGCTCCTCACCCTCTTCGTCTTCGCATTCGTATGCTTAGTATTAGTATGAGTCGGCTTCGTATTCGTGTTCGTATTTTTAGGCTTAGTAGTAAAAATCCTTCGTCGTTGTATGAATGCGATTCTGGGTAATAGTAGTATTGTTCGTATTCGTAGTACCGGAATTACTACTATCGCGCGCATGCGGATTAGGATTCGGAGTAGTGTTATTCGTCTGATTAGTGTTAGCGATGACATGTGTTAATTCGCAGTTCACTGTTATATGCATGATTCGTCGTATTATTCGCATTCGTAATACTAGTAGCAGTAGCTGTCTTATGGTTACTCGCAAAAGTATTAATAGTCTTAGTATTATTCGTATTAGTATCACGATTGGCACCTGCATTCGTATTCGCATTAGATATAGTATGATCAGTAAGTTGATGTGGGCTGTGTTGTTTAGTATTGTTCGTACTAATAATACTATTAGCCGTCTTATGCTTCTGATGCTAACTCTTGGTATTACTAGCAGTCGTGGTGTTAGCCTGGCTCCTGGTATTAATTGCATCCGTTGCATTCGTATTATTCATCATCCTCCTCCTCCAACTCATCCCCCTCCTCCTCCTCCTCCTCCCCCTCCTCCTCCTCCTCCTGCTCCTCCTCCTCCTCCTCCACCTCCTCCCCCCATTATCCTCCTCCTCCTTCCCCCCTCCTCCTCATCCTCCTCTCCCTCCTCCTCCTCCTCCTCCTCCTGCTCCTCCTCCTCCTCCTCCACCTCCCCCCCCATTATCCTCCTCCTTCCCCCCTCCTCCTCATCCTCCACCTCATCAGCATCATCCTCATCATCCTCATCCTCCTCATCATCCTCAACATCATCACCATAATCAGCATCATCAGCACCAGCATCATCATCAGCATCATCAGCATCCGCCTCCTCCTCATCATCCTCATCCGCATCCTCCTTCTCATCTGCCTCCCCCTCCTCCTCCGCCTCCTCCCCCCGTTATCTTTGCATGGCTTCCGACAGCCCAAGACGGCCCCATAGGCATCCAAGACGACTAGAGGGCCCAGGCGAAGTCCAAGAGGTCCCCAACAAAGCCCCAAGGGGGCCCAAAACGGGGCAATGATATGGATACGCGGCCCGCGTGACGCCTTCGGAAGCTGTCTCGGGTGCCCCTCTGGGCCGTAATGGAGTCCACTTAATACGCTTGCAGGCCGCCATGGTGGCCGATTGTATTAAATTGGGGGGCCCTCCCGGGGCATCATTGAAAGCCTGCTGGGCCGCTTTGGGGGCGTCTTGGGTCGCCTTGGAGGCACCTGGAGCCACCGTGGGCTAATATGCCCCCCCCCCCCCCTCATTTGATCGAACTCCTCCAAAATGGCCCCAAGATGGCCCGCAACGCTCCCAAGAGTGCCCCATGAGGGCCCCAAGAGGCGCCCAGGAGGCTCCAAAAGGCTTCCACGAGATCCACAAGAGGCCCCCAAGAGACCACAAGAGCCCCCCTCCCAGACACCCAAGATGTTACAAGAGGCTCCAGGGACCGCCTAGACGCCCCCAAGACGTCCCAAAAGGACTCCGAGAAGCGTTTCACCTTCTGAAGGCACAACTGTCCACGCGGGAACACCCTACTTCAGGGGGGGCGACCACGGCTGGGACTTTCCCAGCCACTCCTGGCAGGTAGCCTTGGCTCATCCTTCGGACGGCCCTCATGCCCCCCCCCCCCGCCAGGCACGCCACGGGGGGTGGGAATCCCTTGAGCTGCTTAGCACTGTGAGCACCGCAATGCACGCACGCAACCACAGGGTGGGCCACCGCCTGCAGGGATTCCTCGGCCCGGAAAAAAAAAACAACCAGACGATGTGATCCCAGGCCTTGCTGCTGCAACCGCTCATTGGCACCACGCGCACGCGACGCGATCGACCCTGGGCGGGTCTGCGTCGCGGGGGGCACGGCACGGCCGCACGCACACCAGGGCCTGTCGGCAAGCCCCTTAAAATCACGCATCAACTGAATGGGCACGACCACAAGGGGAGGAGGCATGTACACACGCACGCGGTGCGCCGCAACGTGCGACGTGTCGCGCGCGTCCACGCGCGCGCCAACCTCCCCGATCCTGTGCCCAACCTGCTCAACAAACTGCTCAGCCTGCTGCATGCGCCTCCGATCAACAGCGGGCGCACGCGCGAGCTGGCCTCCAAACTTGACCCAAACGTCGGCCTGGAAATTGCCGAATCCATCTCTACGGGAAATCCGTCCTGCAACAACATCTGAAATCGCGCCGTGACTCCTGACCTTGCGCACAGAAAGTCCGCGGAAGCCGAGCCTTCCGAAATCCTCCAGGGTTCTCCAGAAGACGCGCAACCGACAAGCCCAGGCCGAGGAGTGGGCCGTGGTGGCCTCCTTTCCTTTCTCGGTCAC